ACCTCACCTTCCACAGCTGCAGGGATATGCAGGGATGTAGGTTCATGCACCGCGTTGCCGGCGTTGCCATGTGTTTTTTTTGTTATAGAATGTAAGTCCTTATTGGTTTATTTTAGAATACTTTTGGATCTTTCATGTCGATCGCTATATAGTTGCTTTTTTGCTAGTTGCTGGCACCAACGTGTTCACTTCAGTGGATTGCTTTGGTCTTTGACATGAAAACCGGAGAGTCTTGTCCGGCCATCGGAGCCCCAAAATGAGTGCGTTTGCGCTCCTAAGGAAGCCGAGCCGCGACTCAGCTGGGCAAAGGCTTAGCCTTGGCGCTGAAGGGATACCTGGAAGCTGACCTGGTAGGTGGAGCGACGACCTGAGAGCGTGAGCAAGGAAGGGAGAGGAAAGAACGACCCCAAGGATCCCCAAGGGATGTTTCATGATATACCCAATATGTGTGCAGCTGTAATGAGATGATAGTTTGGGTTGTCGTCAGAAATTGCCTCGACATGTCTTGGCCATTCTTGCTGATACTATATGAAGCTATGCTTGGAGCGGGAGAAACTACCGTACAGAAAAGAGATGCTCTGAATAACGGAAGCAAATCCACCAGACGTTTCTTGAAGGGTTCGGAACTGTTAAAGGAACCATGTGTAGAATTTATATTCACATGCATGGCTACTTCATGCTCATTTTATGGTGTTTTTGTGCTTTGACAGGGTTCCAGGTTTGGAGATGGGTCCTGGGGCTGCCATCAATTACTAAGTTCCCAATAATTGCCGTTGCAGCAGCTGTTCCAAGTCCAACAGTTTTCTACATGCCGATGCATTTCGTACACATGCCCTTGGGCTTGTTGCATGCATGCATCGAATCTGATTGAATTTGCATCAGGCAGAGGAAGGTCCTGTGTCCGTGAATCCAAGCAGCAACCGCTTCGCGCAAATGTGCTTGACCGAGGATCTTGAGGTGTTGGTGCCATGGCTGCGTGACCCTTGCTGCCCGTTGCCAGGAGCGACAAGAACTTTCCAGTTTCAGTGATTGTCATGAGTCATGAGCATCATGATTCTATTCATCATGCATGAGTGACGTGTTTTGTGGTTATCTATTTTTGCCAACCCAACGAATGCATTGAAGCCAGACCTTACGACAGGTTCGACCGCCCAGAAACTGGCCACCGGACTCGCCTCCGACTATGGACTGTTAGGCGTCCTGCTTGGTGTCCAAGACGCTACGGCAGAGTAGCTGCTGAAGCAAAGTTTGAACATTCTTCATTCACGAGTGTGTCACAGAACTGACTAGCGTTTGTTGAAAGTCAGATATGATACAATCATCACATAATGCTAGATTTGGCAGATATATTCTTGCAGGTCAAAGCATAACGGCGCACCCTCAGAAGAGGTTGGGATTTGGAGAGATAACAGGTAACACTTTAGTTGAACTTCAATTTGAGAGCTTCTCACTCACTGTGCAGTACCGTGTCCTTTTGGCCTACACTTGAAAGATTCTGCAAGTAAAACCGTTGCTCACTCAGGATCAATATATTATACTTGATCCAGTAGACGTTGAGTTGTTGCTGTTTGTTTTGCGCATCAAACAATGTTGAGGGCATTTTCTTGGTGGAGGCCACGGCCTTGGCGGCTGAAGGCAGCCCAGGGCGTTTGGCCTTTGGTCACGGCCTTGCAGGGCTTAACTAGCGGCCTGCGACACAGCAAGAGCTGGCGAGCCACTTGAGCCAAGTTTGGCGACGGCTGAACTGTGGGTTTGGAGGCTACTACTGTCTCTTAAGTTTGTTCCTTCAAATCATGCTTGCGCCTTTTGCTTGGTGTCAGGTCAACTTGTCAGGCGGGAGGATGCCTTTCGAGATGTATTACATTGTCGTGGATGACACACATAGACATATACACAGTCACACCAGAGGACTAGTAGCCAAGGGCATCGCTACTAGTACCCAAGCCTTCTCGATGGCCACTTTGAAGTTCTTGCGAAGATGCACCAAGGACAAAATGCAACAGACGGCACGCCGGCGCCTTCGGCGGCGGAAGGATACCGCAGCTTCCGCACCAAACGTGTCTGCGGATGGATGGTTGACACCCTTGGAGAAGAAAATTGGCACCAGCCCGGTCGCCCGGTGTTATTGGCTTTGAGGCTTTTAAGACCTTTGGTGCATGTGTAGCTAGTGTTGGATCGACGACAGAACGCACACCAATGTAATAAGATTCCACGCTCAATGCTTTTCAAATTGGCCCACGGGCCCAGCACCACTTAAGCCATCAGTCAACTGGCATTTTGACAAGCCATGACAAGCTCATGCAACTGGAAACCATGCCAAGGCATTGCACTCTGACATACTGTAACTTAAGGTGCCGATGCTCCTCCAACTCCAGCGCCTGTTGTGGCCTGACTAGACGTAGCTGCCGGTTGTGCTGTCGAGCCAAGAGTTGAACAAATTGTGCGTCGACCTTGCTTGTTTCACGTATTGGTATCAATCTCAAGACTTGAAAGGTGTAGCGGGGCATCACCATCCCTGAATGGACCTCTAGGATTCTATGGATTCTAGGTCATTTATATAGAAGTAGTTGTCCGCATCACTGCATAAGATCATTGAGATACTGTATAATGTAGTCCCTTGATTTATAAACCCCCCCCCCCTCAACAACCAAGGCCTCCAAAATAATGTATATGAAAATCAATCAGTTGATAATTAAAAAAGGAATCCTTAGCTAGCTACCTCTGGAGCTACTCTCGCAATATTAAATTAAAAGGAAATAAGAATTCCTAACTTTGAAGACCTCTGGCAATATTAAATTAAAAGGAAATAAAAATTCCTAAGTTTGAAGACCTCTGGCAATATTAAATTAAAAGGACATCTCAAATTTCTTAATAGAAATCTCCATCCAAAAGCCTCCAAAAGCATCAAATCTCAATGGAAATCTCAACTTTTCTAATAGAAATCTCCATCCAAAAGCCTCCAAAAGCATCAAATCTCAATGGAAATCTACAAAGTTTTAATAGAAATCTCCATCCAAAAGCCTCCTAAAGCATCAAACCTCAATGGAAATCTACAACTAAAGAGCTTAGGAAAAGTAAATAAGGAATAGAGGGTGAGTA